TGGCATGTGTCCTGGGGGAAGAATAGAAGTAACAGGTGGTTCAGGCCCCTTTTGGGCTCTAGCTAAGGCTAGCTGCATTTCATTTATTTCCAGCCTCATCTTTTCCATTTTTTCCATGGCCTCCTTCAGCATCTGATTTGTCGTCTTTTCCGACTCAACACTGTTGTCTGAGCCAGTCATGCTTTCTGGTATGGGCCCTTTTGATCTTGTTTGATAATGGTACGGTGCCAGTACGCTTTAACAAACTAACTGGTATAGATTGGAAAAACAACAAACTTGTCAGTGTTAGAGTCTTAACAGATATTGTAATTGCACGTTGGGGGATGCAATGTTCTTATGCAGTTAACCATTTCTAACATGCTTTTGCTCTGACCGCATGCATCATCCCGGCTTATTTTATTTGTGCCTCTTTCGAGTGTTTCAGAGACCTCTCTTTTCTTCTTCTCTCTCTCTCTTTTCTTTTTTTTTAATTACGGTCGAATCCTATAGAGATTGCTTACGTATCGTGACCCCGCACGAATCAGACCAGGCGTAGTTCGTGCAAGAAAAATTTTCAATTTTTCATTACTTAAACAAACTATTACAAACTAAAACCCTTTTTGCAGAAAGAAAATAACAAACGCAAACTAAGGTCAAATACAAGTTCCAATACTACAGAAATACTTTGGCGCGAAAAGACAACGGACAGACAAACCACAGGCTAAAAAAAATAGAGAAACACAGACACGAGCTACGCATACTCTAAAGTTTCAAATATGGGTGCCTGCGGGGCATCGCTCGGCCTTCCCACGGGCCTCGGTTCCAAATCCTTTTGAGTTGCTCTAATTCATTCATGGTCCGCTTCACATAGATTAGCACTGCTGAGACAAAAGTAGTAGGGGTCATGTCCTCACAAGCTCGACATCTTCTGAAAATGGCACGAGCAATGGCTCTAATCCTGTCCCTTGCTTGCTTCTTTTCTATAAGCAGACGTTTTATCTGATTACTGCATGTCTTTAACGCCTAAGAATCCTGCATATGCTGATTCTGCAGTTGCTGTACTTCTACTTACATTTGGGCCAACAGGTCGTAATAGTGTCCGCTTTCCATTTGGAAATCCTCAGCCTGCTTAACTGCTTTACCCTCAAGTGTAGCCACTTTTCTCTCCATATTGGCAACAGTTTTCTCGTGGTCCCGTTTCAATTGATTTACGTTTATCTGCTCTCGTAGCCCACTGTGCTTTGAGTTCTGCCCTGACATTTTCAGACCTTTCCAACCTATCCCGATATCCCCTGACTTCATTTTTTAGCCCTTTTATCAATTGCTCATCTGATCGACTCCTCGGTCGTTTATCAGCGGCCATTCTAGATTTCCAGATTTGGGCCCTAAGTGTTTCGTTTTCCCGGGTCAATCTATTCTTTTCACCCTGATCCGCATCAATTTGCGCGCCGTTCTCGAATTTCAGACTTTCAACCTGTTGCTTCAACTTACCAATTTCCGCTCGATAACCTTCTTCTCTTGCCAGCCAATCCCATTGTGCTTGAGATGATTCAATGAAATCTTGGACGTGGGGCCTTTTGGCAGGCCTCTGCGGAATCAAGAACCTTTTTCCAAACCAAGCATTGTACTTAGGGTCTACCTCGCCCTTAGCCCGATCTCGCACTATGGTTTTAGGCTCGAGGAACCTATATCGATTCCAGATTTCACGGATTTTTCCTTCAAGAAAGACATATTTTGGGCCTAGTTCAATCACTTGCTTGCTTAGATTTTCATCATTGTGCACAGCTTGAAACCTTCCCAGTTGACGCAAGACCCTGTAAGGGGCATAAGGTTGGATGCTTCGAACTCCCATTAAGAGGATGTAGGGAACTTCAGCTGAAGTATATATAGCTTCTGTATCAGGAAGCCACCCTAGGGTCCACTCGATTTTGTCAGCAGTTAATGATCTCAAAAGTGATAGCCAAGCCTCTGTTCCTTCGGGGAACTCAATGCCTGTTATCTGAGTCCCAAATTCTTCAATACAGCTCAATCCCATCAGTCCGTAATTCATGTACCCAACTCGATGGCAAAGGTGTTCATGCATCTACAATTGCAGCAACAAGTTGCAACCTTGAAAGAACTTCCCTCCCTTTCGGCATATAGTTAAAGGTCGATAGATTTCAGCTACGATTAAAGGAACTACTGTGTCGTTGACTCGTTTGGTCGCAACATCCAACATCCCAGCAAGGCCGATCTCTATGTGACCGTCTTCCCGAGGGCAAACCACAACTCCCATGAAAGCTACCATAAAAGCTAGAACCCGCCTGGCCTCCCATTTGTCTTTGTTTCCAGCGTGAGTCAAACCAAGTTTGGGCTCTTCAAAGCCTCGAGGGTTACCATAACGCCGATACAAAAACTGAAATGCGCAATACCCGGCTACTAACTTCTCTTCCTGGGCATTCCTGCTGATACTTAACAAGTCCAAGAATTTGTGTGACGTTACCGGCCTTGGTGCCAAAGGATAAAGAGTTCTGAAATTTGGGCTGAGACCCGCATAACCCGCCATTTCCTCCAAGGTGGGTGTAAGTTCAAAATCAGAAAACCGGAATATGTTGTGTGCAGGATCCCAAAAAGGTACCAGTGCCTTAATAACATCCACCTTCGGCTCAACATCCAATAAACCGACGAGGCCACCCAAATTTTTTATCACAGCCTTTCTGCTATCGGCTTCTAAATCATTCCACCACATGTGGAGCTGCAAAGGGATCTCTTTAAGGGCCGTAAAGGGTTTATTTTCGGTCGTGCTCATCCTGCACATTTATTAAGGTGATTTAGACAAAAGGGAAAACCTATATTTGACTCAAACATAAAACAAAACTTCTTTTCCATTTTTTTTCCAATTTTAAAGAAAAGAAAGACTGGTTTTCCGAGCACGGCCTTTCAGCGCTTCATGAACAAAGATTTTAAGGCTGTGAGGGTTGACTGGTCAGAAAAATTCAAAAAAAACAAAAATGACCGCTTGATGTAAATTTTAGCCTTCCGGCGCCCCTTTTGGGAACATTTGGCTACTCTTAACAAAACAGCGTCACCCGATTATTTTTAAGGCTCTTTTCCCGTTTTTCCCAAAATATCATCCCATCATTTGAAAATACGGCCCTAAGAGCCTCGAGGACGAGGGTTATAAGGCTGTATGGGCTAACTGGTCAAAATTCAAAAGATGACCCAAAGTGACCGTTTATGCAAAAGTCAACCTTTCGGCGTCCCTTTCGGGACAACCTGGCTATTTTTGACAATAACGGTGTCGCCCGACTTATAATAACATTTTTTGACATTTTCAGGTTATCTTTTGCAAAAAGGGGAAGTTGGACCCGATGAGAGTTGCCTACGTATCTCACATCCGGTGAGAATCAAACCGACGTAGTTCGGGCAGATAAACTAACTAATTTTTGAAAACAAACATATTTTTTCCTTTTTCTTTTATAGCAAAAAAACTATTTTTCCTTTCCGTTTTTTTTTTTAAACAAAGCAAACTAAAATAAAGGACTCTTTCCTACACACTTTTTGTTTTTTGGGTAAACAAACAATTTTAAAAATAAACTATATTTTGTTTTTCAAAATTTCGGCAAAGTTCTGACAGTACTTGGACACTGGTTTTTTCTAAATTAATCATCTAACTCTCCACTTGTTATTTTTCTCTTTTTCTCAATTTTTTTTTCCAAAATTTTCTAACTCCCCTAGATTCAGAAGCCGGTCAACATGCGGGTTCGAAACGAATAAATGCACAGAGCGTAAGTAGGATGCATCAGGATGGTCTTTTCTGTTTTAGGTTGCTATTCCTAGACGGACCCAACCCTTGTGTTGAGTCCCCTAAGTCAAAAATGCACATGATGCAGATAAGCGTTCCTACTAGGGATCAGGCATGAAGTTGAGTTATTCTAGGTTCAGAACCTGGGTGTTTGTTTTAGACCTGGCTTACCCAAGCGGACAGCTCGAGCCGGGGGGGCAGCGTACCGGGGATACAGAAGCTCAACCCGGCTTTGCAACTTATCTGAACCTCGTTCTAAAAATGGGATTGACTCTAAACAGAAAAGAAGTCACACGAAGTGCACCCTTCTTCATGATTTAGAAGACTCAGAGAGGAGATGGGTTTCGGCACAGTTTATATACAGTTCACAAAATATCAAAGCGGTAAAAGCATCATTTTGCATATTAAGCACAGATCATATGAGAATATCAGATAATAAAGTCAAAATACAACAATTTATCAAGCTCGAATTTCTAACCCTGAACCGGTGGTTCTGGGTAAAGCGTCCCCAGCAGAGTCGCCAGATCTGTCACACCTCCTTTTTACCCGCGCCGCAAGGGCGCAGAGGGAGTTTTTCCAATTAAAGGACAATCGAAACGGAATTTGTTTATTTAATTCAGAGTCGCCACTTGGGAGATTTATGGTGTCCCAAGTCACCGATTTAATCCCGAATCGAGGAAAAGAATGACTCTGTTAACAGACCGCGAACCAAAAATCCGGATAAGTAATTCTGTTAACCTGGGAGAAGGTGTTAGGCATTCCCAAGTTCCGTGGTTCTAGCACGGTCGCTCCACTGTCATATTTGGCTTAAATATCTGGTTTTTATACGATTATGAACTTATGTGCAAATTTTAACTTTTAGCCGCTTTTATTATTATTATTTATTTATTTATTTATTTATTTATTTATTTATTTATTTAGAATGTGAACATCGTTTAAAACATGTCTTTGGATTGCGTCACATGAAATGCACCCGCAATCCGGAACACATTTTTATTCAATATTTTGGGATTTGGATTTGGGTCGCATGAAATGCACACCCGGGTTTAAGAAGGTAAGATTATTAAAATGCGTGCCTAAAATGACTAGCGCGTGGTTATTTTGGAAAAATCCGTGAATTTCGCTAAGCGACCGATTCCGAGTTCTAAGTAATTAATACATACATTTGTGAGGGCCCCGCAATCTATACGTTTTACTAGGCGAGGTTCATCTCATTTATTTTTTAAATGGACAATCCTAAAATGACTACATTTTTTCTATTAAAATTAGTCTTCTAAAATAAAGAAAGAAAATCCTAATTAATTACGAGCTTAAAAAAAATAAGAAAAAACGTAACATACTACTTGCCAGATTAAGACAAATATTAATGGAAAGGAATTTTATTAAAAAAAAAACAAAATTCAAAATTATAAATAAAATACGAAATTCGCCAACTAATATTCAAAAGAAATCAATTATAGCTAGATTAAAAGCTCACATTGTTATAAAAAAAACTATTGGAATTAATTATTCACAACCATTTGAAACTAGATTTAACCATAATTACTAAAGCTTATTAGATAGTTTATTAAACTTAAACGTTGATTCATCTTACTCAAGCTCGCATCTAATGGATTAATGTTCTTAACCTTGCTATGTTGAGTCACACATTAAAAGCATCAAGCCTGCCTATTCTACGAAATTATTGGCCTAATATTTGCGGATCTTAGTTATTAACAAGATTAAAAGATAAAAAAAAAACTCAAATTGCTTTTATTCCAATATTTGCAAATCCAAATCTAGATTTTTACTAACCCTTCTCCCCCCAAAATTAAATCGGTTTCCCATATTGACTATTTACCAATTTTGATTTGAATGCGATCTCAAACTAAAAAAATTAACAAAAAGCCGAAACTAATACTTATGGTGTTCATACCGACAACCATCCAATAGTTCCGCAATTTAACGCTTCACATTATACATAATTCTACCATTCATATAACATGAAACACATAATGAATATCTAACTAAAAATACGAATATTCTATAATTAGAAGCATAAATCTTCTGACCATTTCATTTCAGCTTCAATGCATATGTCAAAATGATTCATAGTAGTGTACCTGGTGTTTGAATACAAGGAAAGGAAGAATAGGATCAGCAAAATAGTATGTAACACAGCAACAACAACAAATAACCAGCAATATCCAACAAACGGAATACCCAGTGACAGATTTGAAAACCGAATAAAATCCAGCAATAACCAGTGAAGTAGTAGCAAATAACCAATTAAACTCGAGAAATAAACCACATGAAAATCCAAAAATACCAATAATAATTAACGGGCAATAACAAAGTGAACTTCTTTTT